TTTGGAAAACCTTTAAAAACCTATGTACATTATCCACTCGATTCTCGTAAATTAATAAATTGCAATATTGTTTGGAATATTTCATTAATCCGTATGAGATACGCTAATAATCATGATAAATTTACACTCGACAAAATAAAACAATATTGTACGTGAAATTGCACAAGAACAGTATTTCGCGAGAGACCCGCGAGAGATGTTTATAAATTTATTGCCACATAAATCTTTTTCTAGTCAAGTTATTCTTTATAAATTTTAGTTCTCCCCAGTTCTTCCGACAAGTTGATACGTGAAGTTTACTTTACTTTTACCGACACCAAGACAAATTTCTCAAGACTGCGCATAAAAATAAACTCAAATCAGCAAGAATGAACGATCATGAACGAACATTTAAGACGAGCATGAACGAGGGGCACCAGTTTTTCTTCCCTTGATATATCGAAAACAGTCGGGTATCCGTCGATATACATATATTTGCAATCGTACACGCGACGCCATCCATGCTCATTGAAACAAGTACGGTTGCTCTTTATTAAATTTATATGCAATTTAAAATGCCATGGAATGCATAGAGAGAAAGAAACGTATTATTGTAAACACGAGTTATAATTTATTCTCAATGTACATCATACATACAGACTGGCATGGTTGGTTACACGCTTATGCACACACAACACGTACGAACAAACACCTGCACACACGCATCAACAAAAAAATAGTTGCACGTATTTACGTGCGTACACGTGCGTATATACCTGCATACACGCATATGCGCTTATATATACATATATTTTATTTTATACGAAAAATCATACATATGCAACATATAACGTATAACAGGAAGTATATCTTGACATATTTTACGCAGTATACAAGTATATATGTAAGTATATGTTCGCAGAGCGAAATAGAGAAAATTCTCGCTATGTTCTTTTTAAAATATATAATTCTCGCACCCCACCCCCCCCCCTCTCTCTCTCTCTCTCTCTCTCTCTCTCTCTCTCTCTCTCTCTCTCTCTCTCTATCTATCTATCTATCTCTCGTTATACATATAAATATATAACAAGAACAGTATGTTGCAAAATCACACTCCTCACTTTTAATATTAATTACTCCATCTCTCTCGTTTTCTTATTTCTCTTACATGTATCATCGTTCTTGTGTATATTACTCTATGATTTCCTTCTGCAAGAATTTACACAACAATGGTATGTTTGTGCAGGCGCGATGAATGACAGTAGTAAATTTGGCGAGCGATACAAATGAACTCTTAAGAAATGTCTCTGGATATTATCGAAAAGTCGTTCTCACGGCTGGCCTTTCGATGATGACTCTCACAACCTTCTGCATACATTCACTAGAATCTTTTTCGTATTTTCAATATCACAATGGTTCAATATATTGACTATTTCATAGATAATTTTCTTTAACTTCTAGAAGCGTGTGAACATACCTTATCCATTTTTCACTCTGAATGTGACTCTTTTTTTTTTCTTTAGTTATCTTGCGACGTGAATGCTCACGGTTGAGTGTACAATAAATGTATACTTCTCCACCCTTAATCTCGCAATTGTCTTTCGTTTTTTAAGCAACAATGTCCAAGCGCATCGAGGTTTCCACTTTTTCACTTTGAATTAAAATTCTCGAGTGATTTTACACGTTTAAAATCAATAGAATCGTTTACAAAGTACAACAAATAAACTTCGAGATACACCTATGTAACATACATATGTATATACAGTACCGGCCAATAATATATCACCTTTCGTTTTTTTGAGCACAACTAATTTTTAAGTACTCGAAAAAAAATATTCGAAAATCATGATGTACCTTGTCAAATATTATTACCCTTCGTGTACAAGATGTACCTGTTATCAGGTGTCTACTGTAAAATATTGAGTACATTCTGTGCACTTCGACAAAAGTTATGCTCAGAAAACCTAAAGGTGATACTTTTGGCCGGTACTGTAGAAATATTTTCGTGGATAAACTATTTTCTTACAAAAATGTCTGCTATTAACTTTTATCGATCGACTATCAATTAATGGATTTCACTTGATGGATAGTTAATTATAGATTCGTGAAATAAATAAGTTATTAGATGAAATTAACGTTTCAAAGTATTTTTCTCTCCATATAAAATAAATATTACATAATTGCTTTACCAATTTTGCATTTTGTAGCTGTGTTATTCGATTATCGGCAAAATAAGAGCTTAACGCCTTAATAATTTATAAACTCTTGTTGTGTTTTTATCATTTATCGTATATACAATATGTATATACACATATTCACGCGTATACTCAAGTATACTCGAATTGCGTTTCTATTGTTATAAATATCGCGCTTTCAAATTTCCATTTTTGGCCTCGCTCACGCGCGTAAGTGGACCTCATCCGCCCACGCTTGGACACAACCCTGCATCCTTTATGCACTCCTCCATGGACGGCGATATAAAATTACGTAGCTTTATTACAGATCATATGACACGTGAATATCCAAGGAACGCTAAATCCTGAGTATCTAAAATTTCCAACGAGACACGCGCGAGCATGGCGCAACGTCGACCTCTCGTTACTTTACCCGATATACTGATTAAACGCCTTTACTTTGACAACTGTTTCCGCTGCAAGAATAACGACCGAAATATCCTCACGGTCATAATAAAAATGAGTTTGTGCGCATGATTCAGATATCATAAAATATACAATGTTTCGCACAACAGGTCTGTAAGTTTTTACTTTAGCTTTGTAATGATATTACTAGGAGATGCATACCTTCTCGATAAGATGCCCTGATTTTCATCTTAAATATACACATATTACATATACTTAATATAAATAAATACACACTTATAAGTCTGTTACAAGACGGCTTGATTTTGAAATAACGCATTATGTTTCACCGACATTGTGAATTTAACAAGAATTCTTTTGAGAAAAGATTTACAACTTTGAAGGGAAATAAAGTGCTATATTGTTTTTTGTAGGATTAATAATATCGGTGAAATTAAAATACGTTATTTAAAATTGAGCTATCCTGCATATAGTCTTTCGTATATTTTTACGTTCAGACCCAAACAGCTTCAGTATTCATCAGTGTGAACAACAAGCGATATATCATATTTGTAATTAAATGTACAACATTCAAAGTAATTAAACAATTACTTTTTCAGATAATGTTTCAACACATTATATAAAACTAAAAAGTATACACATATTTACTAGTTACTATCTAAAACAATTGTTTTAGATACCTGTCATATATTAATTAAAGTAATCCTCTAATCGTTTCAAACAATCATTTATGTTCTCCGAGTGATTACGATGGAAAATAGCGTTGCACGCCAAAATCAATGTCAATATGTAATGTCATTTCTATAACATTCTCGCAGATTACAATAGTAATTAATAGCAACGAAATTTACAAACATTTATACATATACATATATACGTAATAGCAAACAACTATAGGTAACATATCGAGCAAGTTGTACGTTTAAATAAGATTTTGCACAATTCTTGCGTTCTGTGATCTTGCGCGTAGTATATAATAATAATACTAATATCGCATATCCTTCCATAAGAGAAAAGAGTTTATAGTATTACATATAGATAAAATGAGTAGAAAGTTTATAATTTAACATTGGAATCATAATGTGCGAGTTCGATTACATCGCAATACAAAAAGAAAGTAGTTTACGTGCAAGGATATGCACATCAGTGTGGAAATAATATGATGACGTCAAGTCTTTTCGCAATTAGAAATTAGATTAAATTATACATGTGCGACCTGTGTATGAAAGACAAGTGTAAAAGACCGTAGTGTCAAGATTTTTCATAAGCTTGATAAATAATCTATATTGAGAGTCATTTCAACATATAACATCAACCTTTAGCTTATAAACGCGCACACATGTAAAGGCGCTTCCTTAAATGTATAAACTAATACAGATTCTCTTTTACATTTAAACACTAATGTAGGCCACGGTATTATTCTTTTGGTACATAAAAAGATCTGATATACATATACAAACATTTGGAAATTTATACCGTAAAGTGAATTTATTAGAAATAAATGGAAAACTAATAAATTACTCAACAATCGTAAATAGATATAAAGAGAGTTTAACATTAAACTCCTCCATTATGTCAGCAAAATGAAAATGAGGTAATAAAAAGTAATATTCAAACACTCTTGGTACATAAATACAAGAATTTTTTAATTCATACGTAGCACCACAATTAATTATTTGGCATCTAAACTTTTCTATCACAACAATTGATGATAACAAACAATTATAAAAACAAGATATATATTATATTTCTTTCAATAATAGACAACGAAAAAATTTCTTAGTATAATAATGCTATCTTTCCAGTGAAATGTCTCTGTCAATTTAAACAATCAAAATGCATCAGTCTTGACGTCGCTAAATACAACTTAATTCTTTCTTATATTACAGAAACAATATGTCTAATATAAAACTATATATAACAGATAAAATTATACACATATAGCAAAAGAATAAAAATAATGTTTATAGTTAAAAATTTTATTATAATTGAATGCTTCTTCTTTTCTTTTCCCGTATGCACATTTATAATGTAAAATTGATGATAAAAAATTTCTTCAAAGAATAACAATTGTGCTGAGATGTAATGATTGCAGTTATTTGTGCTATATTTGTGCCTCAGCATTTTTATCACGATTTTATTGTATAAACTGAAGACAGTCTTATTAACGTAATATCATGAGTTTGTACACCAGACCTTGTGTATATACAAAAGTTAGTAATTACTAATAAAGGCAATATTGCCTGACATCAAATACTTAATTTCTTATTTCACAATAATTTATTTGTTATTAAATAAGTCAATAAGATATTTAATTAATTTTTACCAATAAAAACAAACACCTTTGTTAAGATAAAAATTAAAATACCAGATATTTATACCAATATCAAATAATTAACAATAAATAAACGAATAGTATACAATATCCGTTAATAAAAGAATTTATAATTAAAATTTTTTTGCCATGTTTAAAGATTTTCTTATTTATTAACCATTTCTGTATCAAATTTTTTACTATAGTATTTAACTTGTTACTTTATAACATGTAAAAAATAAAATAATGTACAATACTGCGTCACTTTTATTAATTATGCAAATAATTAGTAATCAATTGTCATAATTGTATTCCTAGCATAGAAAAATGGGAGAGAGTTCAAGTAATGAAAAGCACATTTAATGTGTCTTCAGAAAAGGTTTGATCAAGTTTGTTGTGAAGAGACTATCTTAACTACGAAAGAAAAGTAAAAAGATACCGTAATGAAACACAACTACTTGAAGCTACAACAGCTATTTGAGAGGTGAGCTCGATATCGACAAAATGATTGTAGTCATTTTATGACAAGAATTTTTTCTTATACGCGAAGAAGTACAAAACTTTTAATATTATGCATCGTGTAATAAAAAACGCTCAATTTCATATGTATACATATTCTTTTTGATGGTAGAAAAGTTGATGTGTACGCGCGCACACGGATACAGATGTAGTATCAATTTATCATGCAGAGGATGGACAGTCAATGTTTCCAATGCTCATTTTGCGCTATGAATATCGTAATAAATTCATCCTAAATTAGATTTAAAATATCTAACTTCATAGCATTGGCTTCAGAGCCTTCTTGTTTTTCATTGGCACAATTTTTCTATGACAGCTACTCTTCATAAATATCTTATCCACGGGGTACAAAGAAGAAGGTACTTAATAGCACCCGTTAATGCAACAAAAAATAAAAAAGTCATAGATACCTATAGAATTACTGAAGAAAAATTATCCTCCCCGATAGATTTCCTGAACAAGGGCGTACTCTTCCAGAAGCAAAGGCATTGCACGATTACAGCGCAGCACCATGATCCTTGATTCTTGCACATGTGCGTAGTTTCTCTCCAAACTTTATAAAATGTTACACTTTTTCGAACGTCGTCGCTTTTTTTGATTTTTCTCCAATTCGGCCGGAGGTTGATCTCTGATAATGCGAACAACCTTAAACAAACATTGGCATTAATCAAACGACATAAACATAAAATAAACGGAAATTATTTATTTGTCGTCTCTTTTATTATATTTACCTCGTGAAACGCCACGTCTACATTTAATGGTGGATCTTTGGCAGAAGTCTCGATATAAGGTATGCCCAGACGTACAGCCAAATCTTTCCCCTCGTCCGCTGTGACTTTCCTCAAATGCACCAGATCCACTTTATTAGCCACCAGTAGCATGGGATAAACATCTCTATCTTTCACTCGTAGAATTTGAGTATGAAAATTGGAGATGTTTTGATACGACTGTTTGTCAGTCACAGAATATACTAAAAGGAATCCGTCGCCTTTCCGCATATACTGTTCACGCATAGCACTAAATTCTTCCTGACCAGCTGTATCTAACACTGCAATAACACATAAGTATTTCTTAGAAAACGTTCGATAAAGCAGTTACTTGATCAAGTGTAAAAGCAGTTGGATATAATACATTGTCGATAAAGAAATAAAAGATATAAAGGTATTTACCATCCAAGATACACCATTGTTTGTCTACCTCGGTGTGTTGAATATAACTATCCTCAATAGTTGGATCATAGTCTGCGACAAACAGTTTCTGGAAAAACTGTATCGTAAGAGCACTCTTGCCGACACCTCCATCTCCAACGACGACCAATTTAAAGGTCATAAGATGATCATTGTTTGGAGGACGTGTCATTCCGCCTCTGGAACGTTTGCTCCTTTTCCGCCCACTTCTACGTCTGCCTATCCTGTTAACTCTTTTAACGTGTCGCCCTGGCAGTGCAACCTTTCGTAGGACGAGGTGTCTCGTTGGCAAGTCGACACGGAAGATCCTGCAACGACCGAGGCTTTTAGGAAACCCGAGGGAATGTTCGGTGATAAAAAAAAACAAATGCATCGAATCAGCCACAAGACGTATCGCGGGAGACACGCTAGTGCGTTGTTATTTACGCGTAAAAAATGACGGCAAAACGCGGGGCATCGTCGGCGCAGCGGGTACGGCCAGTCGCGAACTTGCGTCCTCGTCGAGGGACGCTCGTAAGTTTCGCGACAATTCGCAGGCAACGTTGGATTATCGCGACGAAACTCACCTTACATGATCCGCCACTCCTGCTACTCGTGCTGGCAGCTGTCAGTCCGCAAGTACCGAGCGCAAATATAGCCGCGCGCGCGAGCGCGCGAGTATATGTCATGCACGTGCGTACGCAAGCGCTTGTATATATGCATTATACATATATAGAGCGCGGAGAGAAATCATGTGCGCACATATACACCTTTGAGCTCACGCGTCAACGGCGTCCGCACGGCTCACGGCACACACAGCTTTACTTGGCGCCGCGAGCGTCATCGACGTGAAGCGCGCGCGCAGTCAATACCAGACAATACCAACTTTACCGACATTTGTCCAGCCAGCGACTTGGACTGTTTCCAAGTGGACAATGTGGTACATATAAACTGCGCCTAAAACGTTATTGTTTAAATATACATGTATTTTTAACCGCATCGTCAGGTTAAATACATTTTTAACGCATTAAAAATTAAAAAAGAAACGAATTGGTTCAGTTATCTTTAGTAATGTTTCCACTTAGTCGGCCGCACGTGTGCGAGTAAAATTTTACTGATTTCAGAACGTTTTGAAGCGTGTGTGTTGTGCTCACGAGCTCCGTGGGTTATGCCGGGTGAGACGCTTCTGATTGAATCATCTAATATATCTCTGTATATTAACAATAGTGCTAATAGTGCTAAAGAATACAGTACAAAAATATAGTCAACACATTTAATGAATGCAAATGTGTACACCGGATGTGCACGTAAACGAAATATAACATAATTTGAGGTTAGGTTACGTTGTGCTCCCTGTAAGAAAGTGTGTTTAATAAGTCGGCGCCAAGAGTTTAAATCAGACTTTACAGGAATTATTATATATTCTTTAGCTACTGAGAAGTAAATTAATATCGAAATGGACGCGGATTTGTACGACGAGTTTGGAAATTACATTGGCCCTGATCTGGCGTCGGAGAGCGAGGATGAGAACGAATACGGCAATGTCGGCGACGACGCCGAGGATAGAGAACGATCCGACGAAGAGATGGAAGAAGACAAGGATGAGTCGCGGGAACAAGTGGAGCAAGGATCTTCTATGGCGGTTGTATTGCACGAAGATAAGCGATATTATCCCAGTGCGTTAGAGGTGTATGGACCTGAGGTACAATCAGGCTAATAATTCATAACTATAAAATTGATAGTAGAGGACTTTCCTCTAAACATTTCTACTCTATTATTTTCCACAATACTTGTGTCGGTTGTTTATTGATAGAAATTGTTTTATTCAAGCTCGTTAGATATATACATTTTTCTACTTTTAGGTAGAAACGCTTGTGCAAGAAGAAGATGCCCAACCATTAGATAAACCACTAATAGCACCTACTAGGAAAGCAAAGTTTCAAATAAAACAGCAACAGCTGCCTGAAACCACATATAGCATTGAGTTTTTGGCTGATATGATGGACGCACCACATCTTATTAGAAATGTAGTTTTGCTAGGACATCTTCACCATGGGAAAACTACCTTGGTCGATTGTTTGGTACAACAAACGCATCCTTATTTGCACTGCATAACGGACGAGAAACCATTGAGGTATCGCTAGAAACGATGTAACTTTTACTTGTTAAGCCAATCGCAAAATGAAAATATTATTTTTGTTTATATGTTATCAGATATACGGACACATTGTTTACCGAGCAACAAAGAGGGGTCTCTACGAAAGCCACTCCTGTCACTCTCTTGCTACAAGATGTTAAATCTAAATCGTATCTCATAAATATATTTGATACACCGGGCCACGTGAATTTCTCTGACGAAGCGACAGCTGCGATCCGACTGTCGGATGGCGCAGTCTTGATCGTTGACGCGGCGGAGGGTGTGATGCTCAACACCGAGCGTCTGCTGAAGCACGCGATTCAGGAAAAGCTCGCTTTGACAGTTTGTATAAACAAGATAGACCGTTTGGTACTGGAGTTGAAACTACCACCCTTGGATGCTTATTACAAACTGCGGCACATCATCGAAGAGATCAACGGGCTAATATCTTTGCACTCTTCGGATACCGACAATCCTGGCTTCGTTTCGCCCGCCGTAGGAAATGTTTGTTTCGCTAGTTCTGAATATAGCGTGTGCTTTACTTTAAAATCGTTTGCCGCGCTCTACGCCAGAAATTATCCTGGACTTAATGCCACCGAGTTCGCCAAGCGACTCTGGGGTGATATTTATTTCAACCCTAAAACGCGCAAGTTCACTAAAAAACCACCGCATAATACTGCGCAGCGAAGTTTTATTGAATTTATTCTGGAACCTCTGTATAAAATATTCGCGCAAGTTGTCGGCGATGTAGACACAACGTTACCCGATGGTAAATCTCATTCTTTTCTTTTATTCGTCATAATTGAAAATTATTTCGAGAGATAATTATTATACATGTTTCATGCACAGTTCTGGACGAACTCGGTATACGATTAACATCCGAGGAGATGAAAATGAATATACGACCGTTGCTAAGACTTGTCTGCACGAGATTCTTGGGAGATATGTGCGGATTAGTGGACATGTGTGTCACTCATGTACCAAGCCCGCAAGCACATGCGCCTACTAAAGTACAGCACGTCTATACCGGCCCGATAGATTCGCCTCTCGCGCAAGACATGGTTAATTGCGATCCTGACGTTAGTATCTGTACTTGACACATTACTGTTCAACATAATCACATCAATAGCATAAATTGTGATAAAGATATTTTATTAATAGGTGCGAAATTGAAAAAGAAATTTTGCACTCAATCAATTAGTCTTATGATAAGTTGAGGAAACTAATGACAAAATATAGCGAAGAAATTCTTTCTAGTCTTACAACCCTATTTTTATAACAATTTTTTGTAGGGGCGACTAATGATTCATAGTACAAAGATGTATCCAACCGAGGATTGTACCCTATTCGTGGTGCTTGGCAGAGTAATGTCCGGTACATTGGAAGCAGGACAACGCGTTCGCGTGTTAGGTGAAGCGTATTCACGCACAGATGAGGAGGATTCACGCGTTCTCACGGTGGGCAGGTTGTGGATTAGCGAGGCGCGTTACTCGATCGAATTGAGTCGCGTGCCTGCAGGCAACTGGGTCCTCATAGAGGGTATCGATCGGCCGATCGTCAAGACTAGCACCATCACCGATCTTAACAACTCGGAAGAGCTGCACATCTTTCGGCCACTCAAGTTTAATACGCAGAGCGTTATCAAAATTGCCGTCGAACCAGTCAATCCATCCGAGTTGCCCAAGATGCTGGACGGTTTACGAAAGGTAAACAAGAGCTATCCGCTGTTGGGCACGCGAGTGGAGGAGAGCGGCGAGCATGTTGTGCTCGGAACCGGCGAACTTTACCTCGACTGCGCAATGCACGATCTGCGTCGTATGTATTCCGAGATCGACATAAAGGTGGCCGATCCGGTGGTCGCCTTTGCGGAAACTGTCGTGGAAACCAGTTCCCTCAAATGCTTTGCCGAAACGCCGAATAAACGGAATAAGTTGACAATGATAGCGGAACCGCTCGAGAGGGGACTCGCCGAAGACATAGAAGCCGAACACGTTCGCATTACTTGGAACAAGTAAGTAACCACGCAAAAAATCAATAAGCTTCAACATTTTACCTGAGAATTAACGGAAAGACTCGTAGCGTCTTTTGAAATTGTGTGCATCAGTATTAGAGAAAATATTCATATAAATATATACATGATATTAAAAATGTTTTTGTTATTTATTTCCATGTCATCGTTTTCTTTTTTTTTTTCAGAAAAAGACTCGGAGAGTTTTTCCAAACAAAATACGATTGGGATTTATTAGCGGCGCGAAGCATATGGGCGTTCGGTCCTGACTCTACGGGACCCAACATTTTAGTGGACGACACTTTACCTTCCGAAGTAGATAAAACATTGTTAAACAGCGCCCGCGATGCTATCATCCAAGGCTTTCAATGGGGAACTCGCGAAGGTCCGTTGTGTGAAGAGCCAATCCGGAACGTCAAGTTTAAAATTCTTGATGCAGTCATCGCGCAGGAGCCGTTGCATAGAGGGGGTAATTTTATTAGCATACAATGTAGTCGTGCGATATTAATTTGTGATTCACAGGAACGTAACATCAGAGTAAATATTTGTAACAGTTTGCGGAGAAAAACAATTTTCATAATTTGCAAGACATATTTAATTTCATGTCCTCAGGTGGCCAGATCATTCCTACCGCTCGACGTGTCGCGTATTCCGCTTTCCTCATGGCGATTCCGCGACTGATGGAGCCGTATCTGTTTGTCGAGGTACAAGCGCCCGCGGACTGCGTGTCCGCAGTTTACACTGTTCTGGCAAAACGGCGAGGTCACGTGACACAGGACGCCCCGGTTCCGGGCAGTCCGTTGTACACGATCAAGGCCTTCATACCAGCGATCGACAGTTTCGGCTTCGAGACGGATCTACGAACGCATACCCAAGGTCAAGCATTTTGCCTCTCCGTTTTTCATCATTGGCAAATCGTGCCCGGGGATCCTCTGGACAAGAGCATCACCATCAGACCGTTGGAGCCGCAGCCGGCCACCCATCTGGCCAGAGAGTTTATGTTGAAGACGCGAAGACGCAAGGGACTGTCCGAGGACGTGTCCATCAACAAATTCTTCGATGATCCTATGCTGCTCGAATTGGCTCGGCAGGATGTGCTACTAAATTATCCCCTCTAATTTTATGTATACATAGTATGCGATTTCTTATTTAACCACTTTTAAATGATTGAAATGATAGTACATGTTGCAATAAAGTGATATGCGATGTAATTATTTTAACACGAGTCAAGATAACTAACCTAACGTCTGTGTTTTTGCCCATTTAGACGCATTTACTTTAAGACGAACGTTACTTTAAGAAGAACGAACTAAAATCGAACGTTAAAAAGCTTTCGATAACGATAACATATCTTACACGTTATCTTGTATGTCATTGCATACATTACATATAAAGTGACTTGTATCTCGCACGACTTCGAATATTAATTTCATATTTCTTCCCATTGAAATGTGATATTTCTCTAATAAAACAAAAATTATTACCGATATAACTTAATAATTTCATTGCTTGTTGTCGGAAAATATAGGAGAAAAGCTATTTAAGGATAGCCCTTAGGATTAGAAAACTCACGGAATCCTCAAGGAATAGAAGCTTTAATACAAGTTTTTGGAGAGTATTTTAAATGCTGTTATTACTGTTTCGGTTATTTGACAATATAAAACCTGATCTACAATGTTCTCTATACGTCTAGAAACATTCTACTTTGTAGTCAATAAATACGTTTAAAAAATGTATGCAAGATGATATTGCATATTATACTTTGTACAATCGTATATCGCCGACAATTTTTTAAATAAAATAGAACGTTTCTAGATGCAAAAAGCACATTGTAGATTAGGCTTAACTCTAAAAATTCCTTAGAATTCGCATGTTTAACCTTGGTCGAACATTGAATCCAACCACTTTGCGCTTAAATTTCTTCAAGCGCTGAATTTCGAAATTTCTCTTGTCGAGGAAATATACGGGACGAGGACCGAAATCGAATCCTACCATTACTAATCACCCGTGTTAACACAGAGCTACACGCGTCATCCCTTGTAATACAACCTTGCTCTTTTAGAGGTTAACGTTCGATTTTCGTTTTAAAGTAAATGCGGCTAAATGGGCAAAAATAGACGTTACCCCGACTCGTGCTAAAATAATTACATCGGATATCGCTTTATTGCAACATATACTGTCGTTTCAATCATTTAAAGTGGCGAAACGAGGAATATAATTGCATACTATAATATATTATCGAGTATTCACAATTTTTCTTGCGAAACCTATTTTTGAGTTAATCGCAATTTATCTCTAAATTATTTGAAAAAATGAGCCTTTATCTTGAAAATCTCTGATTAACAATAATATTTTCTTAAGAATAATGTTTCGAATAGCTTATTATACAGGAATATCGGTATACTTATCACAAAATTGTCACATGTGCGCTTGATAATAAAATATCTATTTCTCTGTCCATTTAAAACTTTTTCCTCGTCTTCCTCTTTCAATATATTCTCTTTGTATAGATATCTATGTATAGGTATATTATTGTTTACTACTTCCCAGTTCCTAACCGCTTGAATCTGGTCTATAAATCAGGAATGGTGAGTATGTTTATCTTCCTCTTTTTTATTTCTATTATAACAAAATTGTATCTAAATCAATTGTCTTAAGAGGACCCCTCAGCGAACTCCTTCAGCCATCTTTTTTGCCGACACAGTCAAATAGTTTTTTTATACTTAATACTTTATGCGTACTTTAATCGTGTGGAAGAATTTTGCAATTTTATAATGCAAACTTCAAATACCAATATCTTTTTTATGAGACTTCTCAACTGAGTGTATTAAGTATGAAAATGTTCTGCCATGCGGTCTGCAACTTATCTTGCTATTATTTTGTGCGTAAAAGCTAATAAAAAGAATTACAAGCGCAAAAACTAAATTTGACTGTGTCGGTAGTATTCGCTGCAGCCAAGTTGGATTATGGACCGCAACCACAATCTCGATACAGTGATAAACAGAATAATTGCGATGCACTCTTTTAGATTACGTTCCAAAATCTTTTTCTCCGAGGAATATTTTACTCGATGGCCATTCTGAAATCATTTTGAGCGTTTTCAATCAGCGTTTTCTATTTCTCGAGTAAAATTTTCCTCAGAGAAAATGTTTTGGAACATAAACCTGAATCTAAATGCGCTGACCAAAAAAAAGTGTCGCAACCATTCTGTTCATAACTGTATACCTACATATCAAGAATAAAGCCGTTGCGCTAATTCCCGCGAATGAAATAAGTCGAGAAGATTCCACGAAAAAAGGCGATCGGCATGTGCATGCTCTTAAAATTGCTGCACCATCGGTAGGCTTCCCAGCACGATGTGAAAGACGCGTACTAAACAAGTCGTAACATTGTTGCGACAGTGCATTGAAAATAGGAATGACTGCGATAAACGAGGCCTCGTTCCACTGACCCGTACAGACCAGTGCTTCGTTATTGAATTTTAATTTCCAATATATGCAATCGCAATAAACGTACACACACACAGAGGTAGAATCTTTTGATAGCTGATCGCGCGACATTCGATGCGGATTCGACGTCCTCGAGGAACGTGTGAAAGCCGCTCTACATAATCCTCGGGGATCAATAGACATATTAACCATAGGCTGATGCCAGAGAACGATCCGTAAAAAAAAGTCGTATACAATAGACCTTTCACGAAGTTTGTCTCTGCCTTGTCTTACGTCTACGACTAAGGCTAATATTACATTTGTCGTACGACAAATGGCTGCGGTCAAGCTGTTCGCTTCAAATGTTACAAAGTATTCTCCTTCTCTTTTCTCTCAGTAAAGATAGAAAGAGAGGACAAACACTTGGAAGCGTTTTCTGCCATCAGGCTGTGTCGAGGATACGTGTCGACGGACGCGGAACCGGCGGGACGCGAGAAAGCTGCGCGTCGCAACGCCGCGCCACTCGCGCACGCGGTAGGCGGAGTCGCAGCTGCGCGTCGTCAAATAGGCGGGCTCGGTGGCCGGGGTCAGGCGCCATTTTAACGTCCTTGGTCGCTCCCATCTATCCGCCCATAGGTCGGGCCCGTACCCGCCCGACGGACGCGACGCGCGCGCGCGCGCGCACGCCATGCCTCGTCCGGCCAGCAACCTCCGGGCTCCGTGGGGCTCCGGACGCTCCGGTCACGACGCTATCGCGAGCGATCGATCAGCGACTACTCTGACGTTCCCTTTCATCCCCTCCACCCCTCTCCATGCTCAGTCTTTCACCTACACGCACACAACCGCGCAGTCCGACGCACCCCTCGCGCTGCTTCTACACTTTCTACGCGGCGATTCGGCTTCTACGAGGCCAATTCATTTTTTGCCGTAAAACTCGACATTCTACCCGAGTGCACACATCGTCTTCTCGATACATTTCCGATTACCTGAAATAACCTTGTCGGAAATGGGGAACAAGGGGGGTAAACGTGTGCGTTGTCGAAAAATATACTGTGCTCTCTTTCGATTCTTTGTTTTTTCGTTAAATCTTCTTTTCTTTGACACACATTTCCTTTTTACATCTATTTCATAGGCAATGAAAATGTAACGTAGTTAGTCGGTTACACGGAAAGAACAATGTAGCTGCTGTAGCTAAAACTTAGCAAAATAGGGACAGCTAATATTTTTAGTTGTGATAGCTCAATATTTTGTTACGACAGCAAACCGTTTGCACAGTAGCAATATGTATATTGAGCTATCACAACTAAAATATTAGCTGTCCCTATTTTGCTAAGTTTTAGCTACAGCAGCTACATTGTTTTTTCCGTGTAGATACTTAAAAAAAACAGATATCCAAAACATGGTATTTTTTAGACAAAAGTCATACAATTTTATTATGTATCTAGTCTACTTAACAGCGACATGCATAAATTATGTATAAATATATGCATAATATACATATGTGTGTTAACCTGAGAGGATTTCATCGTTCATTCCGCGGGAACGATTGATTCGCACAATCATTTAGAGTAGTTGTAAGTCGATTGGCTAAAAGCCACGCGAACGGCCAATCGACTTGCTCAAGTTTTCTGTAAAGGCTGGTCTACAATACATGGAGTAAGCTGGAGTAAGCTGGAGTAAGGAGTAGGAGTAAGAAATAAAAT